TTTTTTGAGACAGAATCCCACTCTGTTGCCCAGACTGGAGTGCATTCATGCGATCTTGACTCACTGCAACCTCTACCTCCTGGGTTCAAGTGATTCTCATACCCCAGCCTTCCAAGTACCTGGGATTACAGACATGCACCACCATGCCTGGTTAATTGTATTTTTAGTAGAGATAAAGTTTTGCCATGTTGGCCAGGCTGGCCTCATGTGATTTGCCCACCTCTACTTCCCAAAGTGCTGGAATTACAAGCAGGAGCCACCACACCTGGCCTGACCTGTATATTTTTAAAAATTAATATTTTTGTCAGATTTTAGTGTCAGTGTTATGCTGGTTTCATAAGATGACTGGGGAAGTGTTTCTTTCCTTTTTGTCAGAGAACATATATCAGATTTTGTTATTTATTCCTAAATATTTGATAGAATTCACCAGTGAAGCAATCTGGGCCTGGAGTTTGATGATGAATTCAGCATCTTTGAGATGACACTAGACAGATTTTCTATGACATCTTTTGTGAAAATTTGTTTTTAAAAGGATTTGTACATTTTATAATTTTTTAGTTACTACTTCAATTATTTTCCGGATCCTTTCTTCTCTCATTCTTTATGGATTTCAGTTACACATATGTTCAGCCTTTTGTCACTCTCACAAAGTTTTCTGTGGCTCTTTTTTTTTTTTTTTACTCCACCAGGTAAATTTTTTTAATATCAAGAATCATAATTGTCTGTTTCAGAATTTACATTTGAATCATATATACATGTATGTATATAGAAATTTTTTTTTTTCTGTTGGGATTTTCTATTTTTTAATTCATTGCGAGTGTTCTTTTCCTCTGTGTTACCCAGTACAGTTAAATAGGTCCTTGAACATCTCTGTCTTCTAATTTCTAAGTCTTCTAAGTCTTGGCCATCTGAGATTTATTCTGCATTGGGAGTCTTATCTTGATGAAGAGTCATATTGCTTCAGTCCTTTGCATTTTGAGTAATTTTGGATTGTATGCTGGCTGTAGTGAATGCACATTGTGGAAAACTTGGATTCTGTTATATTCTTCAGAAGAATGTTGATATTTTTGTTTTAGTAGCTAATTAACTTGGTTGGATTCAGGTTATAAACTGTGTCTATTGGGTAGGAGTTCAAGTCTCAGTTCATTTCTTACCGTAGTTTGGTTTTGTTTTTAATTTTTGGCATGCAATTCAGGGGCAAGCCAGAGATTTTGGAAAATTTCATACATAGTATTTGGTGATCTACAACTCTGTCTTTTCTAGTATTCCTCCCTCACATTTCAACGCTGGTTTTCTCAAAATCTCTGCTGCTAAGGCCAAACAATATTTGAAATTTTATTTGTAAATTCACCCCAGGATATTTCCTTTTCTGAAGTCATAACTTCCTTTCAGAATCTGCCTGTTTTCAGTCATTCTTCAGGGCTTCAGATAGTTAAATTTATATTTTGCTCTGAGTTTAGGAGTTTACAATTGATATTTATAGATGGGCAGCCTGTTAGAAATTTACTCATCCTGTCTTCCACAATGGTTTAACTAATTTATACTCCCACCAACAGTGTAAAAGTGTTCCTATTTCTCCACATCCTCTCCAGCAACTGTTGTCTCCAGATTTTTTAATGATTGCCATTCTAACTGGCATGAGATGGTATCTCAATGTAGTTTTGATTTGCATTTCTCTAATGACCATTGTTGATGAGCATTTTCTCATATGTTTGTTGGCCTCATGTATGTCTTCTTTTGTAAAGTGTCTGTTCATATCCTTCGCCCACTTTTGAATGTGTGACGATTCCTTAAGGACCTAGAAATAGAAATTCCATTTGACCAGCAATCTCATTACTGGGTATATATCCAAAGGATTATAAATCGTTCTGCTATAAGGACACATGCACACGAATGTTCATTGCAGCACTGTTTACAATAGCAAAGACCTGGAACCAACCCAAATGCCCATCGATGATAGATTGGACAGGGAAAATGTGGTACTTATACACCATGGAATATT